AATATCCTTATACTTTCTTCTTCGTCATCTTGTTTGAATTTCCACGTTCAAAATGCAGTCATTTATTTTCTTTGTGTCAATGTCTTTGCTCTGAACCCGTCCCCAAAACAGTGTAACTGTTTGGTCATGTTTCTGTAGCGTAGATACTGATATTTGATCAGTATGTTTTAGATGCTACCCGCACACGTGTTTATGAAGATCTTTCGATTTCTTGAGGATTCCCATAAACAAACATTATAGGCATTAAGAATTGTCTTGTGTACTGTATTATCTTAGTTAATTATAATACGGGGACGTGCGAAATTACCTTGCTGAAAGAGTTTGTAAATATTCTAAATATGTATGACTAAGCTCCATGTGAAACTCAAACCCAACACTTATGTATAGTATCCCGCATTAATACATAGATATCCAATGATGTTAAAATGCCAAGTGATACAAGATCATGGGCAAGCCGTCTTTATTTAATTGGAAAAAAAATCACCATTTGTTAAAAGATTGTACATGCTGAAATAAATCTCCTTTATGTGCTAATATATACGTCAGTTGTTTATAATCTTTCAAATCTTGTTGCTATCAGTTACAAATCGGATTTAAAAAGTCATTGATTTGAATGTTTTAGTAAAATGTTTTCCATTGCATCATTTGGTTATATGATAAAATTTCACGTTTTGTTTAGGATTGGCGTGCGGTTCTTATATTAATTTCATTGTGCACAATCGAGAAGAAAAAAAAAGGTTGAATAATACAATCATTCTTATTTTGAAATAGCATATTTTTATACAATACATCGTGTATTATGTACTTCATTCTTTTTTTTTCAAGCGAATAAAAATAATGATATGTAGCAAAGTAAAAGAGAACACTACGATGACATTTAATACGCCTGGAAGAAAACTGACATGATATTGAATCGCATAAAATACTATCAGGTCACTGCGATAAGTTGTTTGTGAGAAGGGAGGCAACTCGTAAACTCGTGTAGGTCAATGTTTTGCATAAAACATGACGCACATAAGACCTGGGAGTGAAATTTCTCTTCTGGTTGAAGTCTGTGAAGGATTTCTCTGAAGTGCTCATCTGTAACTTATTCTTACTCTGTGGTCAGTTGTTTCCCTTCTTCCTTGTGTGACATTTCTCACTGATATAAGTTTTGTCATCTGGTAGACTATTATTTCTCCTGACTGCTCAACATTCTACTTACCTGTTCTGTATGTTCCCTTGTGTTCCTGCTAGTATTTATCTATCATTTCTACCACTTTCGTCTTCATCGTCTTGTTTCAATCGCTTTCCACGTTCCAAATGCATCCATTTCTGTCTTTGTGTCTATATCTACTGCTCCGAACCCCTCCCTAAAACAAGGTAACTGTTAGTTGATGTTTCTGTAACTAAAGTACTAATATTTTATTAAGTTGTTTAGATGCTATTCGCACCCATGTTTAATAGTTTAACGATCTTTGAATTTCTTCAAAAATCTCTGAGGAACATTAAGACTTGTCTTGTGTACCGTATTACCTGAGATTTAAGACGGGGACATGTGATACTTCCTTCCTGACAGAGTAATATCCTAAATATGTATGACTAAGCTCCGTTTAAAATTCAAACCCAACACTGAGACATAGTATCGACACGTTCATATATAGATATTCAGAGATGTGTAGAGGCCAAGTGATACTTAATTGTGAGATCCTGGCCAATCCGTCTTCATTCAATCAGGGGGGAAATCCCCATTTGTCAAACGGGTTTACATACTGAAATATATATATTCCTTCATTTCCTATATTTACGTCAGCGGTTGATATTCTGTTCAAACTTCTTGTGATAAGTTACAAATTGGATAAAAACTGTAAATTCTGTGAGTGTTTTACAGTCGAATGCTTTCCGTGCCATTATTTTGTCATTTAATGAAATTTCCCATTTTGTTTTGGACTTACATTAATTTCGTTGTACACAAAAAAAAACACCATTACTATTGTAAACTGAAATCAAAGAAAAAATCGTTCTTATATACAGTATTATATATCTCATTTATTACAAGTGATATGAGTAAGTAACGATATGTAGGAAGGAAGAAAAGAAAACTCAAAGAGACATTTAAATGTGTTCGGGATGTTGAAATGCATTGCGGCAGTGGTTCACTATGATAATTAGTTTATGAGAAGGGAGGCAACTCGTTAACGCTTGTGAGTCCAGGGCCGTTTTCGTTTGATTAAATAAGGTCGGACCTAGTATTATGATGCTGCTTTCAGGCAAGCCTTATCAAAGCCTTGCAATGCCTGCATAAACATTTGCAGGTCCGACAGTATTTATACCCGAAATTGTTACATTCATAAACGGTCAAACCGTTTGTTCCGCATAAACGAACAGGCCCATGTCTTGCATTTCTACATGAAAAATGACGCGAACGATGAGATAAATTAAAGTTTTTGTTATTCTATTTTTGTACGTTGGCAATAACTTATATATATATAAACTGACTTAAACATGAAAAGAAAAGAAAAATTAATACCACGTGTAGGCTGGAGAGGAGATCCGTGTACTCGTGCACTGATACCAAAAGTCCAGGTTTGGTTCGGAGTCGACAGGATTCTGTTTTATAAATAGGGCAGTTTCGTAGTATGACATGTATTGCAAGTAGCAAAGTAATACAAAGAGTAAATCCAACTTCTAAACTCCTCATTAATTTCAACTTCTCCATAGCGATATATATCATCCGAAGGAAAACTCGTATTATAATTGGAGAACATACTATTTGATCCGAAACACAAAATAAAAACGTACATCTATTTGTAGGGAACAAATAAGCTTTTACATGTACATGTAATTTGCTACTGTTTGTTACACAGACACAAGTATAAATGATTGTTCCTATTTATAAAGTGTCGGTTCCATGAATTTATATTCAGTTAACATATTATATTATTTTGTATCTGATGTTTCGTAGATAGGTGGTTGTCTTTAAGTGTAATTGTGAATCTGGTTTAGTGAAGTGTCCGGTTTGTACAGTGGTCGGTAAAGCTAAGTTACCCTCTGAATCTATGACAACATGAAGTTTGAACTTTGATAAAGAGTCGTATATTTTCTCACGCATACGCGTCTAAGTACCAGAAACCTATTCAGATTATTGATAAATGTACAGACAGTAGTCACGTGATATTTTGCGAAAGGATGTAGGTAATTATAAAACGGAAATATTAAATAAAAGTTCTGTTCTGTGTCTCGAGGTGTTTGTCCTAAAAACTGTTTGGTAGCGGCGCTTTAGATAGAGTGTGTCCGTTACATTGATGACATAGTGATAAACAGTACATAGTGATAAACAGTATAACGGTTATAACCATTAAATTGACTCCTTGGTACAATCTGTCCGGGAAATTATTGGAGTATACAGCTGTACGTGAATGTTTGTTGTTCACATAATTTGCGTTATTAACACTTATCAGATGTCCTATTTTCTATTTCTCCTTAAAACATATTTTTAAGGACGATTGATCACGTGTGAAGTCTAATTTGTCTCGTTTTTGATATAGCGTCAAAAATATCCTTAACTATTTTCATGTAGTTATGGATTTAAAATATACAAATGCATAGATAATTTACTCAAACGTTGTAACGAAAAATAGCCGTCAATTCCATAAAATGATGATATTGTGCGGATTTAGAATCAATAACACGTAACGGGTTTATTTTTTTTAAGATTAAAGATTAGAACAAATCTTTTAGCTCTAAATATCCCGTTATTCATACTCCGTCTTTAAGATAAGATTTGGTAATTGTTTATTTAAGAAAGGTAACTTTTGTTTCACAGTTGATATATTGTCGATGTTGATTAGATTTAAGCCATATTTCACGAGAGAAAAAAAATCAGTACAAAAAGGAGAAGCGACCTCTTGTTTTAAATAAATCTTAAACAAAACTAGATACTATGTTACATTAAAAAGTCAAGTTTATTTTTATACGATTTCTCGACATTTTTTTCTTCAATATTTGGCGCTACGAGAAAGAAAAACGACCATAGTGTCTAAAATAACAAATTGCATGGACCATTTTTAATACAATATAAAGAAAATATCTACAACAGGTTCAGATTTCATCAAAATATAATGTCTACAATAATTTCTTTGGGTGATACACTACAAAAAAAATCCAAATCTAATAGTTTTCTGTCATACTTCCTGAATAAAAAACGCACACCAATCCCCGATGTTCCTTTTATTAGCCACAATATAATACTGGTCAGAAAAAAAGTAAGATGTTCAAATAATAATTATCTAAATTATCATCCATAAACGCGGTTATTATATTATTGCCATATGGCAAATGGCAATGATACGTTTGGTTACATTACACGCCACTCCTGCAGGTAGAGGATCGAACAATACACCTGCTGNATACCTCACTTTTGGCTTTCATGTTGAACGTTCGCCCAGGCGAGGAAGGCAATGGGTTCTGTCCCAAAGTCCATCAAAATGATAGTTTTAATTCCCTACTTAACGTTCAGCATTTAAGGGAATTACAACAACTGGTTCACCCGTTGTCAGTATAGTGTGACTGGGCGGAATGCTGTACTGGTTGTCATCGGCATGGTATTTCAGTGAGACAGCACTATAAAGTCGGCATCAGATCCGCGCTATCACAAGCAGGCAACAACACCAACGTACCCTGTCTCCAGCACACATACACGCATGCATGCTTGCACAACACACACGGAGGCCTTAAATTACCTTAGCTGTTAATAGGACGTCAAACAAACAAAAAAACACCAAACACTACACGCAACTTATAGACACAGATGATTTATAAACTTTATTTCTTTAACAGCAACAGGTTCCCCCACGTGGTCGGGCAGGAGACCCAATACCTTCTCCTGTCCGGTCAAGGAACCCCTGCCACCCTGATGAAAGACGAGTGCATTATCCACTACGCCACCCTATCAGTCCATTCACAGAAATTTGTTATTTATGATGAAATATGTTTGGGTGGTGTACGTAGTGGTGGTGTTGATGGTGGTGTACGTAGTGGTGGTGGTGGTGGTGGTGTACGTAGTGGTGGAGGTTGTGGTGGTTGTGTACGGAGGTGGTGGTGGTGGTGTACGTAGTGGTTGTGTTGATGGTGGTGTACGGAGTGGTGGTGTTGGTGGTGGTGTACGTAGTGGTGGTGTTGGTGGTGATGTACGTAGTGGAGGTGGTGGTGTACGTAGTGGTGGAGGTGGTGGTGGTGGTGGAGGTGTTGGTGGTGGTGTACGTAGTGGTGGGGGTGGTGGTGGTGTACGTAGTGGTGGAGGTTGTGGTGGTGGTGTACGTAGTGGTGGTGTTAATGGTGATGTACGTAGTGGTGGTGTTGGTGGTGGTGTTCGTAGTGGTGGTGGTGATGGTGGTGTACGTAGTGGTGGTGGTGGGGGTGGTGTACGTAGTGGTGGAGGGGGTGGTGGTGGTGTACGTAGTGGTGGTGTTAATGGTGGTGTACGTAGTGGTGGTGTTGGTGTTGGTGTACGTAGTTGTGGTGTTGGTGGTGGTGTACGTAGTGGTGGGGGTGGTGGTGGTGGTGTACGTAGTGGTGGAGGTTGTGGTGGTGGTGTACGTAGTGGTGGAGGTTGTGGTGGTGGTGTACGTAGTGGTGGAGGTTGTGGTGGTGGTGTACGTAGTGGTGGTGTTGATAGTGGTGTACGTAGTGGTGGTGGTGGTGGTGGTGGACGTGGTGGTGGAGGTGGTGGTGGTGGTGTACGTAGTGGTGGTGTTAATGGTGATGTACGTAGTGGTGGTGTTGGTGGTGGTGGAAGTAGTGGTGGAGGTGGTGGTGGTTGTGTACGTAGTGGTGGTGTTGATGGTGGTGTACATAGTGGTTGTGTTGATGGTGGTGTACGTAGTGGTGGTGTTGATTGTGGTGTACGTAGTGGTGGTGGTGGTGTACGTAGTGGTTGTGTTGGTGGTGGTGTACGTAGTGGTGGTATTGATAGTGGTGTACGTAGTGGTGGTGTAAGTGGTGGTGGTGTACGTAGTGGAGGTGGTGGTGGTGGTGGTGTACGTAGTGGAGGTGGGGGTGGTGGGGTACGTAGTGGTGGTGTTGGTGGTGGTGTTCGTAGTGGTGGTGTTGATGTTGGTGTACGTAGGGGTGGTGTTGATGGTAGTGTACGTAGTGGTGGTGTACGTAGTGGTGGAGGTAGTGGTGGTGGTGGTGTACGTAGTGGTTGTGTTGATGGTGGTGTACGGAGTGGTGGGGTTGGTGGTGGTGTACGTAGTGGTGGTGGTGTACGTAGTGGTGGAGGTTGTGGTGGTTGTGTACGGAGGTGGTGGTGGTGGTGTACGTAGTGGTGGTGTTGATAGTGGTGTACGTAGTGGTGGTGGTGGTGGTGGGGTACGCAGTGGTGGAGGTGGTGGTGGTGGTGTACGGAGTGGTGGAGGTGTTGGTGGTGGTGTACGTAGTGGCGGAGGTGGTGGTGGTGGTGTACGTAGTGGTTGTGTTGGTGGTGGTGTACGTAGTGGTGGTGGTGATGGTGGTGTACGTAGTGGTGGTGTTGGTGGGGGTGTACGTAGTGGTGGAGGTGTTGGTGGTGGTGTTCGTAGTGGTGGTGTTGATGTTGGTGTACGTAGGGGTGGTGTTGATGGTAGTGTACGTAGTGGTGGCGTACGTAGTGGTGGAGGTGGTGGTGGTGGGGTACGTAGTGGTGGAGGTGTTGGTGGTGGTGGACGTAGTGCTGGAGGTGGTGGTGGTGGTGTACGTAGTGGTGGTGTTGATGTTGGTGTACGTAGTGGTGGTGTTGATGGTAGTGTACGTAGTGGTGGTGTACGTAGTGGTGGAGGTGATGTTGGTGGAGGTAGTGGTGGTGGTGGTGTACGTAGTGCTGGTGGTGGTGGTGGTGGTGTACGGAGTGGTGGAGGAGGTGGTGGTGGTGTACGTAGTGGTTGTGTTGATTGTGGTGTACGTAGTGGTGGTGGTGGGGGTGTACGTAGTGGTGGGGTTGATGGTAGTGTACGTAGTGGTGGTGTTGGTGGTGGTGTACGTAGTGGTGGTGTACGTAGTGGTGGTGTTGATGGTGGAGTACGTAGTGGTGTACGTAGTGGTGGGGTTGATGGTAGTGTTGGTGGTGGTGTACGTAGTGGTGGTGTTGATGGTGGTGTACGTAGTGGTGGTGTTGATTGTGGTGTACGTAGTGGTGGTGGTGGTTTGGTGGTGGTGTATGTTGGTGGTGGTGTACGTAGTGGTGGTGTACGTAGTGGTGGTGTTGATGGTGGTGTACGTAGTGGTGGTGTTGATGGGGGTGTACGTAGTGGAGGTGGTGGTGGTTTACGTAGTAGTGGTGTTGATGGTGGTATACGTAGTGGTGGTGTTGGTGGTGGTGTACGTAGTGGTGGTGTTGATAGTGGTGTACGTAGTGGTGGTGGTGGTGGTGTACGTAGTGGTGGTGTTGGTGGTGGTGTACGTAGTGGTGGTGTTGATGGGGGTGTACGTAGTGGAGGTGGGGGTGGTTTACGTAGTAGTGGTGTTGATGGTGGTATACGTAGTGGTGGTGTTGATGGTGGTGTACATAGTGGTGGTGTTGATGGTGGTGTACGTAGTGGTGGTGTTAGTAGTGGTGGAGGTGGTGGTGGTGGTGTACGTAGTGGTGGTGTTGTTGGTGGTGTACGTAGTGGTGGTGTTGGTGGTGGTGTTGGTGGTTGTATACGTAGTGGTGGTGTTGATGGTGTTGTACGTAGTGGTGTTGGTGTTGGTGGTGTACGTAGTGGTGGTGTTGATGGTGGTGTACGTAGTGGTGGTGTTGATGGGGGTGTACGTAGTGGTGGTGTTGATGGTGGTATACGTAGTGGTGGTGTTGATGGTGGTGTACGTAGTGGTGGTGTTAATGGTGGTTTACGTAGTGGTGGTGTTGATGGTGGTATACGTAGTGGTGGTGTTGATGGTGGTGTACATAGTGGTTGTGTTGATGGTGGTGTACGTAGTGGTGGTGTTGATTGTGGTGTACGTAGTGGTGGTTGTGGTGTACGTAGTGGTGGTGTTGGTGGTGGTGTACGTAGTGGTGGTCAAGTAAATTTCAAATAAATTTTGTTTAACGTCGATATGATTACAAAGATAAACACAGGCACGTTTGGTGAGCTTTTACGATCGACATAACAAATAAAACACACATAAAACAGGATTTCATTAATTGAACAAGATATGTTCATGCTGTAAAAGATACAAATAGAGAGGAAGCATCCAATAAAACTTATATCTTTATATAAATAATAATAATATTAATGCGGTAAAAGTGGCAAGTTCCATTTTGAATTTAATTTATTATTTGTTCACATTTGCTTATAATTTGATTTGAGATGAAGGAAAGATATAAAAGAGCTTGAGAAAAGATAGAACAGTTGTACATGGTCAGCTCAAAGGGTGATGGGGTGGTTTTATGGTAGTGGTGGTGTTCGTCTTGGTGGTAGTGGTGGTGGCCGGTGGTGTGTGTGGTGGCGGCGACGGCGGCTGTTTGTGACCGTGTGGCGATGATAGATGGGACGCATGATATAACGGATATATGATACATGTTAGCACTCAGTTTTAATTAATAGTTGATTGAATACCGGAAACCCGTCAAGTGCATAATTGAACTACAGTTGCTAAAAATGTGTTAAATAGTGTGAAGTTAATAAAATAAGAATTCGCCATCATTGAAGCCTGGCCAGAGGAGTAAACATGATATTGTAAATTAATATTTTTGCAGATAAATAAAAGGAGATGTGTGAACCAACATCATGAAATGACTGATACTTCGGATTCTTTTACAATATATAATTCACTTCTGACAGAGACGTAAGTACTTTCAGTAGGGCTTTCAGGAAATTGAGAAACTGAATAGAAACCAGATAGGTCCTTGTTAGAACTGATGATTTTTGAAATGAGAATTATTTTTGTTTATTATTCAAAATGCATTAACTGATTTTTTTTAATGTTTCTTTGGCTTAGCCAGTGCAACAGATCCTTTACTTTCTACATGTGTATGTTTGGAGTAAATGTTACTACGGTAAAACACAAAAGTAATGGAAGAGCAGATGTATGGTAAAGAAGGGACTTCTGTTGAAAGAAGCTTGTATAGCATGGCTAAAACTTGTACCGACCCGAGATCTCTGACATCGAAAGAAGCGTTCGGAATATCTCGGAGTTTTCCATAGACTTTTCAAGTTTCAGAGCGACATCTGTCAGACGAGTTGAAAGTCATGCCGGTGAACAACTCAGTGTGCAGAAGAAATGTGATTTGTACTATAAGATGAATGCTGACGACGAGGAAATTCGTTGAGCAGACGACGGGATGCCTAGTTGGCGTCCAGATTGTTTTAGGGGCTCCGTTCACGAGCCTGGTAAGTTGAACATTATTTGTTTACTTTGCACACACTCGCTCTTGCAAGTGTTGTGTTGTTGTTGATCATTTGAAAAGATGGCGGGTGTTCTGAACTACGGTATACACGATGATCAACGGTGTAGACTCTGCTTGTGCGCATGTTTGGAGGGATTTGTAAATATCATATGTGAAAGATTTATTTGTTATTCATTTTATGTAATTTTGGAAGCACGATCGATTGCCTATTTGAGTTTTACAACTTATAAAAGAGGTCGAATATCAGCTGTGTATTGTAAGTTTGCTTTCAAATCTAACCACATGGAGGAGTATGGAGGAATGTTTGTGTATATAATTAAGCAACATATGTGTAGATTTGACCATGTTGTTCCAAATAGATTTCTAATATTCAGATAGGCATCACCGCAACAGGCCATATATACAATGGTATGTAATGTGGCAGATTTTAATTGTACATAAACGATAAGTCACCTTCTAGCTTCGCGTCAGAGGAAATTTCCCTGTAGCTCAGTGGTAGACCATACAACTAGGAAGTCCAGGGTCGTGGGTTCGATCCCCGGTGGAAGGACTCTAATCTCTTTTCTGTTACAAATGGTGTCTGTGGCCCTCCCTATGGTGACAGAGAGTTAGAACCTGGGTTGCTGTGGTGTCCGAAGGCGAAGGGGGGAGTAGTGTGGCAGATTTAATTGTATTGGATGTCAGTCAACTTTTACCTTGCACTGAAAGGAAATTCCCTATAGCTCAGTGGTAGAGCGTCCAACTAGGAAGTATGGGTTGCCCGTTTGATCCCTTTTGTAAGCACACAACTCTCTTTCCTGTTACAGTTATTTAGACTGACACAGCAGTGCACCAAACAGAACCATCAGTCGTGTGGTTCAAAAGTTTTGAGAAGTAGCTTTTGATAGCTAGAACAAGAGTATCTCTGATTTTAAAGTCATATCTATTTGTGATTAATATGAAATACTGTACCCGGGTTAAGCATTGTCATGCATAACAAAATCAAATACTGTTAATGTTTGTTCATTTAGCCACAAATCTACAACAGACAAAGACATGCTCTTTTGCATCCTCGATATCCCAAAATTCCATGATTTTGACACACAAGTCTTTTGTTTGGGACTGTACCGAATTGCCCAGTTAATGCATTGTAATGGACTAGGAAGTTTGGGGGTCGCTAGTACATTGTAGGACATCCCCTGGTTTTGTCATGAACTCTTCTAGATCTGTTACAGTAGTAATGAGCCTTCAGAGCTCAACAGGCATGGTTGACACTTGACATGAGGTGATTAAATATTAAACACATCTAAAAATTGTCTGGGCTTGAAATGCCACTGTCTGTCGGTATAGGAATCAGCATCTGGACCCATCAGCGTTCTCAGCTGGAAACTACAGCTACCATTTCAGTCTTGTTGATAATTCACAATAAATTAAATTGGTTTCATAGTTATTTTGATTGGAATCAAATCATTTGGCTTCACTCGGAGTCTCAGTCCCAACATTTGATAAGGGACCATATTATGGTGACTGCATGCACTAATTCAATTTCCAGATGACTTGATCTGCATATACATATGAGGGGAGAGTGAGCCTTATTATTTAATTAAAGAACTGAAAATGACTTATATATACCTTGTTCTTTCCAATTATTGGTGACTTCTAGATGTCGCAGTAGAAATAATTTGTAACATTTTAAAATGCATAAACAATATACAAAGTCTAGTTTTACTGTCCGAATATTCTTGTTGTTTTAGCAATACTGTAGTCACATATACCACAATGTACATGTATCAGTGTTACCAAGATCACCAAGACCAGAAACTCTGAAGTGCTCCGTCTCACAAAACTAACGAATACTTCAGCTATTATTGATCTAGATGTCTGTTTGATTTCAAACTGTTGGGTAGCATCTGCATGTGTCTGGCTTGTTGGTGTCTGGACAACAAGAATATCAGAGGACTTTGGCTCAGGTCCAAATTGGGGAAAATCATTGACAAAACTGAAAAAATGGAGAACTTTCATATATGTGGATATATTTACGATCTGCCAAAAATTGGTTGCAATTATCAATCTGTGACATAGCATAAAAGAGTGTTCACACATGTTTGTCTTGGTACTTCAAAAAAATGTAATTGCATTTTTTATTATATACACAAAATTTGTTCTTTATGAAATTATAACTTATAATTGCTGTTAAACAGTATTCAAGATTTCATTGATTATCAAGGATTGGTGTTCACTTTGCCTCCCAAAAACTTAAATAAAAAAACAACATTAAGGACAAAATGGCATGCATCATTACATAAAATGGTGCTAAAATATTTCGAGCTCTGCATTCTTGTTTTAATTTGTTGATTCATTAAATTAACGAATAACAACCAATGGTCAGCTGAACAGGAGTTCTGGTTAGGCTTTGTAATCATTTAAATTTTCCACATCACACATATATATGTGGCATAGGGTTCTGTTTCTTTTTGGCTGAACAGTAAATGAAAAACTGTAGGTATGCAATTATAATAATCTGCGGGGTGCAATTTTATACCTGTGCAGCGGAACTGAACTGGGTCGATCGTCAGACACCAGGTAGCTCAACTGGTAGAGTGTCTGTCTAGAGTTGGAGGTCCTGGGTTCGAACCCTAGTCTGTCTGGCCGTGCATTTTTCCATCTCCATGTACACATGTACCAGATTATGTGAATGCAATTGATTTGAAGAACCCAAAACAAATTCTGTCATATAAATATTAGTCTACCCACTGTACATAATCACTGTAGATACCACCACTGATCTTGCAGTCTTGTTGTCTGTGTGAAACATATACAATAGGCAGAAGATTCAAGACTCCACACACTCAACTTTCTAATTACATTAAAAGCTTCCCACAGAATAACTCAGCCTCTCCCTCTTTTAATTTACTGTCAAGTACAGAAGCTTGAAACATAATGCATAATGATGTCATCTGCACTTTGCTGAAAAGCAGGCCATTTATCACTATATAGCTAGTGTGGCACTAATAACTGCACTGTGCTTTAAATGTATTTTATCAACAAAAATCTAAAACAATATTTCATATACAGTCGTACATGTTATTGATGTTGAAGGCAAACAAAAAAATGTATGTTTCAGGTAACATGCCAGAAAAAACTAGTATAGTTTAGAAGCTAAATTATATCTTTTTGTATTTTAATTTTTATGTTTTATATCAAATTTTACAATGCATTTCTGTACATCATAGAGTCTATTTAGTTTTCAAGATTGGGGTTAGGCTCCAAAACAGGAAAAAAGTACATTTTAATGAGTGACTGTGAACTTTGCCTGGAAAATAAATTTAATTCGGATACAAGTGGATGATAACACTTCAATCATTGGTAACATGATAGAACATCTAAAATCGCTCAGTCTTGTAGATCGTACAAATGATGCAAGGCCGACCATGCTCGGTAAAATATGTCATAGCAAAGTTGCCACCAATTCCACACTTCTTGTCCCTACAACTAGACAATCCAGCAGGCACTCACATCAAAATTCTTACCAAACCATCTCTTGTACAATGTCCAGGAGTAAAGAATTTTCTTTCCCTGGACAATCAATGATTTGACAAAACTACCCCCTTAAAATATATCGTCAGATGCCGCGGTACTAAGTACCTCAGTATCCATGTGCACCTTAAAATCAGCGATCTCTTCCTTTCAATTTCAATATTAACTTTGC